TGTGTGACCAAAAGTATCTGTAGTTTTGACAAAGACGGAAATTCTAAGAAACTAATTGAAAACTAAGGTAATTTTGAACTACAAGAAGAAGGAAACTCATAATATGTAGAATAGAATAGAATAGAATAGAATATTTTTTATTCAATATACATTACATGTGTAATTCTTATTGAAAGTCATTTTTTACTTTACCACTGGTTCGAAAAAAACCCTCTGTCCTGGGAAGAACCAGCAAGAAACCCAGCGGGACTTTTTTTTAAAATAAATTTTACAATATAAATGATTACGAACTATTTACAAAATTTATTTTAGAAACTGCTTGGAAGCGATCACCTCATTCCCAGGGGTTATTATCAACCATGTATTCATTTATACTATAATAACCCTTTTTATACAGTTTCAGCTTAATAAAACATTTAAACTTGGTAATAGAGAGAACCTGTACACTTTCCGGGACCTTGTTGTAATAGCGTATACATTGCCCCAAGAATGAATTACTGACTCTGTGGAGTCGAGAAACTGGTATCACTAGCTTGTGTTTGTTCCTAGTATTTACAGAATGTATATCACTTCTTTTACTAAAACTATCTTTGTTTTTGTGAACATACATTAAATTTTCGTAAATATACTGAGAGGCCAAAGTTAATATATTAATTTCTTTAAATTTATCTCTAAGAGACTCTCTCGGTTTTAGATTGTAAATAGCTCTAATGGCCCTCTTCTGTAAAACAAAAATAGTTTCTGAATCAGCCGCATTTCCCCATAGCAAAATCCCATAAGACATTATGCTATGAAAATAACTAAAATAAACTAATCTAGCTGTCTCGACACTAGTGAGACCTCTAATCTTTTTTACAGCATAGGCTGCAGAACTTAGTCTGCATGCTAATTTGGATATATGGGGGCCCCACTGGAGCTTTGCGTCAAGAGTGATGCCAAGAAAAACAGTGGATACAACAGGGCTCAATTCCTCCCCATTTAAAAACACATTGGTATTCAGATTTTGAACATTCGTTGTTGTAAATTTAACACAATTAGTTTTATTTCCGTTCAAATGCAGATTATTAACGTTAAACCAATGCACTAATTTTGATATAACATTATTCACTTCGTCACATTTAAATGATTGACGTTTAAGTTTAAAAATCAAGGAAGTATCATCAGCAAATAATACTATATCATGACTATCCCCTACAAGGTGAGGTAAGTCATTAATATACACCAGAAACAGGAATGGGCCGAGAATCGAGCCCTGAGGTACACCCATTAGTACAGGTGACCCGGAAGAACTTTTACCATTGATAATAACCTTCTGTTTTCTATTACTTAAATATGAAATAATAAGTTTAAGCGCTGTTGTCTTGACACCATAGTACTGTAGCTTCCTGATTAATGTCTCATGGTGAACACAGTCGAAGGCCTTGGAAAGGTCACAAAATATACCCAAAGCATCTTCTGAATTCTCCCATGCACAAAAAATATGTTTAATAAGCTCAACTCCAGCGTCAGTTGTCGAGCGACCCCTTGTAAAACCGAATTGATTATTATGTAGCAATTTATTAATATTAAAGAAACTTAACATCTGATCTAAAATAATTTTTTCAAAAATTTTACTTAATGTTGGTAGTACAGAAATTGGTCTAAAATTGGCGGGGTCTAATGTACTACCAGATTTAAATATAGGTATGACTTTACTATGTTTCATTAAATCAGGAAACACACCAGATTCGACGCTTATATTAAATATAGTGGCTAGATAAGGTGCTAATGTATCTATTATAGATAAAATAACTTTAACGGAAATCCCCCATAAGTCTGCCGTTTTCTTAACATCAATAGTTTTAAAATATTTAACGATATCTTTTGGCAGTACCCTATGGAATTTAAAAGTATTTGAACAAGCCTTTACATTTTGTTTGAGCAATGATTCGGCGACAGTAGGAGAAAAATTTAATGATTTTGTTGTCAAACAAGGAACATCAGTAAAATGTTTCTCAAAAGCCATAGCAACTTCTTGATCAGATCGCGTTAAATTATTGTTAATATTCAATTGAAAATCCGAGTTGCGCGGTTTGACCTTGCCCGTTTCACTATTTATTATTCTCCAGGTCATTTTAATTTTGTCGGATGCAGTTTTAATTTTGTTGCTTAAATGTAAAGCCTTAGCAGTGGAGCACACTTTTTTAAATATTTTAGAATATGTTTTTACATAATCTCTAAATATAATACTACTATTATATGATCTTTCATCATAAAGCTCGTATAACCTTCGCCTACTTTTATAAATTCCTACTGTCGCCCATTCATTAAATGATTTGCGACTGTTAAAAGAGAAAGTTTTAGAAAAAAAGCTTTTACAAAAATTTACTTCGCAAATATCCGCGTTATAAAATAAAATGATGTGTCTTACCTAGTATGAAGAAGCACCTCCCGCCCTCCCTCAATTGCGTGCACTATCCCCGTCACCACTAATCCCAGCACCGCTACTTCCAACACCACTACACTAGGCAAGACACACCACTGACGATAATACGACACGTGTTTCGCCTCTACACGAGGCATCCTCAGGTGATATAGACTCTACGGTGGCTAACCGCTAAGTGAGCGGCGAGCCAAAACAAGTGCCTTTTATACAAACCGATGATGCAACCGCTCTCCACCTAAGTAGCGAGCGACTGCGTCATGCGATAAAACATGCGACCAATCACCGCTGGACTTACGCAGCCGTTTGTAAAATTAAAAACAAACCGCCGCGCAACGCCCACATTATTAGAGAGCAGGCTTGAAGATATTTAAGAGAGGTGAGTTAGTAACATTTGTTTGTTCATTCAGCAATGCAACGGTATTATTATTACTTTTTAATATCTCTAACTGTTCCAGCACACACAGCCGCAGCCCTTTATAACACGTATGTAAGACTTTAAAGGAGTGGTCGTTCGCTAGGTTGTGTCCAGTGTCCAAAAGATGTTTGGCAAAATGGGATTTATCGGGATTGCAATTCCTGTACGCGGCTAAATGCTCTTTATAACGTGTCTCGAAATTGCGACCAGTCTGACCCACGTAAACGGCGTGGCATTCGTCACAAACAAGTTTGTAAACACCTGACTTTTGACGAATATACAATTTATCTTTACTATTACAGATATTTCTAAGAGAATTTAATTCTCTTAGAAATATCTGCCTCGTGTAGAGGCGAAACACGTGTCGTATTATCGTCAGTGGTGTGTCTTGCCTAGTGTAGTGGTGTTGGAAGTAGCGGTGCTGGGATTAGTGGTGACGGGGATAGTGCACGCAATTGAGGGAGGGCGGGAGGTGCTTCTTCATACTAGGTAAGACACATCATTTTATTTTATAACGCGGATATTTGCGAAGTAAATTTTTGTAAAAGCTTTTATATAATGGATTTCCGCAAAGTAAGGCCTGATTCTATTAATTATATTAAAGTTTTAGAAGTAAATATTCTACTAAATTCACAACGTATAATTTCAAATAATGTAGCATACAAATAATTAGCACTATTTTTAAACGAAAGTGATGGAATTCTTTTTATTATATTACTTCTAAACCTCTCCAAGCGATGTTCATTTATTGGAACAAACACAACTTTCTTATTTTTCTGTTTTTTGTGTATGTAAGGTAGTGATACTAACTGTCCACAGTGATCTGAACTTAAATTTTGAATAATTGATTTATGCAAGGGCTTAACATCTGTAAAAATGTTATCTATCCAGGTCGCACTAGGCCCAGCAATACGTGTTGGTTCTAAGAATAAATTTACAAGATTATACGATTTAAACAATGAGCTAAACTTAATACTAATGGAAGAAGTTTCAAGGAGATTGATATTAAAGTCTCCACACATTACAACAGACTTGTTCTGTTTACTAAGTTTGAGTAAAACTTCTTCCACAATCCTTTCAAAATGGTCATTAGTAGCACATGGGGGTCTGTAAACACTTACAACAATGAGGTGCTCGAGCTCGACACAAGCCATTTCTACAGTTCGTTCAACAGAGAGGCTCACAATATCCTTACGTTCTTTATATAATAATGATTTATCTGCTAATATTAAGGAGCCACCACGTAAACTTTTTTCTCTATTGAAGGAACTGACCACCTGGTGATTTCTGAAATTAAACATGAAATTATAATCTTTTAGCCAATGTTCAGTAATACAAAGGATGTGTATATTGTTACTATTTAAAAACAATTCAACTTCCAATTCTTTGCCCAACATGCCTTGTATATTTTGATGCACCAGGTGTAAACAATTTTTATTACTTATTTGTGGGCTGTATTCAAAATTAATTAAACTCTTATTATTGCTAGAGATTGCCTCTATTGTCACATCCACTAATTTAAATTAGTTGGAACTGATTCCAAATTAAATGTCAAATGATTATGCTCAATAAAAGCAGTCTTGGTAGCCAAAAACTTGGCTGAGTTAAAAAGTAAATAATAAGATAGCACATTTGCTATCAGTCTTAAATTATATTTGGATAGGTAATACCTATCTTTTGTCCAAAACTTTTTTATTAAATTATTTATTAAAAAAGTTTGGATAATGAGGTAGCGAAAAAAACAATGCTACCGATATTTTATGGTATCGAAATATTTCTGTATCGTTATAAGATATCGCAAAGATATGACGTCATACCTTTAATCGTTATAATTATAACCCATCATTTTTCGGCAATGCAAGCCCGGGCTAAATGATAATAAATAAAAATGTGGGGATAGATTAAAAATACCGATCGGTATAAGGATAAGAAATCAATGTATTTTACACACTGTAATTGGTTAATACAATGATACTAAAATATTATGTACATATACTAATGTATATATATGAACAAAATATTCATCAGATTAGGCTGTATGGGCATAGATTCCTTTGATTGAAATAAAAATAAAATATTTGTTTGTTTGTTTGGTGGTGAAGTGAATAGATTCTATCTCAAAGATTTATCTTAAAATTTTGAAAATTTAAGATATTACATATGGCACAAATTAATCCAGCGCAATCGTCAAATGATGAGAGCCTTAAGAATATTTTTGACGAAGCGATGGAGCTCTATAACAGCTTAGAAAATGGAAAAGAAGCTACCAATAGTGATCCGGTTCAGGTGGGTTATTAAAATAATTCTTTCACTAATTAACAAAAACAATAGATTTTCATAATCTTAATATTTTAAGCTAACAATTATTGTATATATACAGTAGAATTCGTTTTGTACGAATTCGTCTATAACGACCAACCCATGAGACGTAGATGCAAAGTCGTTGGTTTTCATACAACTTTCTTAAAAATACATACGTTTAGTTCAACTAAACTAACTTGTTTGCGTAAATCAGTAACAGTGTTCTGTGTGATTTTTTTGGTCACTACATTAATTACGAGCTCCAAAATAAGTCTTGAAACTAAAATGTTTCTCAATTGAAGAAAAAGTGCTATAATACAGTGTTTAGATGTTGAGCCTGAGAAGATTTGTTTAACTCCCAGTGCGTCCGAATGACTGAAAGCTGCAATCTGCTGCAAGTGCTGAATCTTTTACGTGGTAGAGCCATGCTGCAGCTATATTAATAGTATAGTTGTAGCACAAATGGGTCGGCTCGACCGGGGAAGGACCACGCTCTCACAGAATACCAGCGTAAAATAGCAGCTTAATGCTGCTGTGTTTCGTATGGTGAGTGTAGAGAACCGGAGACCCTTTTTACTGGAAAAGAGGCATTTCATTTTTGTCCTCATGGGTGACAACGCATCTGCATTTTGATTCACAAATGAGGATAAATTTAGATGTCTATGGGCCACAGCAACCACTTACCATCAGGTAGACTGTGTGCTCGTTGTGTCTGAAGTCAAGTCTTTGCTGAACAGTCTCGGATTGGGGGCGACTAAATCTAGTCCACTTTAATCCTCAAAAGACGCAAGTTTGCAATTTTACCACTAAAAAGAATCCCTTTGTTGTATCTCTTCAGTTTTAAGGCAGCTTTTCTTGCCTCAGCCAGTATCGGAATCATATCGGACATATAGAGTGACGTGTAGTTTCGTGGTCACTTGGGAGCGAAGGCCAAACTGGCCTCTAAAAAGCCTGGAGTGCTCAGCAGAGCGGGACAGTATTTCATGCCGGCACACCGCCTGCAACTTTACAAGGCGCAGGTTCGGCCTCAAATGGAATACTGTTCCCATCTCTGGCCAGGGGCTCCCCAGTGCCAGCTCCGGCTTAGCTTTCCATTGACGTCAGTGGAGTTTGGTGTTGATAGGTATTTTTACAGAAAGATTACACTATTATAAGCACACACACAAAGTCTCAATATACGGAAACGCGTAATTTTTGAGAAAAGAATAATTGAAAATCAATTATTCTTGCAATGTTTATGTCTAATCTGCTAATAAACTGGCGCCATTTTGTAATGTCATTGTCGACGTCAATGGGGATGTCGATTCTTTCCGAAAAAGGTCGATTTTTAAATCGATTCAAATCGTAAGCTGATGTATCGGTTCACAAAAAATCGATTTCTAAAATATCTATATTTTTTAAATGTTTCTATTTATAATGTAAATATAAACCCATTTTATGAAAAACAAGAAAGATACCATGATAAATGATCTCTTATTGAAATTTGTTTTATTTAACAGTACCTATTAGGGCAGATAACAAATAAAATAGGTTAGGTTCAACTTATGTCAAAGAACCGAATTGATTGACCCCGACTCCACCTGGTACGAGTCTGTCCTACCCCTAGAGTGGTTTTATAGAGCCGGAGGCGCGTAGGGGGAGCAGCCTCCGCCTGCTGTAACCTGCGCAGCTTCGGCTTGTTGGTCGCCTTCGGCGACCAGCCTCAGCAGCTCCGGCTCGTCCGATGCCTGCGATTTGTTACGCTAAGGCGTAGAGGTTGCTTTTCCCGCAGCGCCGGAGACGTAGCAGTCTCAAAATAGATACAGAAATCCTTATGAATTAGTCCCCTTATTTTTTTATGATGAAGGGGATTTTTTTCTCATAAAATGGATTTATATTTACATTATAAATGCAAACATGAAAAAAATATCGATATTTTAGAAATCGATTTTTTGGGAATCGATACATCAGCTTACAATTCGAATCTATTTAAAAAATCGATCTTTTTCGGAAAGAATTGACATCCCCACTGACAATAATAATAAAAATGGCGTCAGTTTCACGGTAGGAATTGACTAAATATTGCAAAATTATTTGATTTACAATATTTTTTTCTCAAAAAGTACGTGTTTCCGTATATTGAGACTTTGTGTGTGTGCTTATAATAGTGTAATCTTTCTGTAAAAATTCGTATCAACACCAAACTCCACTGACGTCAATGGAAAGTCGTACCCCAGCTCCTTCCACTTGACCGCATCCAGCGCAGAGCGGCTCGAATCGTCAACAACCGAGTCCTTTCCGATCGGCTCGATTCATTGGCACTGCGAAGAGATGTTGCATCCCTTTGCATTTTCTTTCACATTTACATGGGGGAGTGCTCTGAGGAATTGTTCGGATTAATCCTAGCCGCCAAATTTCACAAATGCACATTGCGACAGAACTTCCGATACCATCCACACCATCTGAATGATTGGCAGTCCACCACTGTGTGATTTATTTTCTTCCTCGCACGACTTCCTTGTGGAATGAATTACCATCAGCGATTTTTCTGGACCGATACGACTTAGGGACCTTCAAGAAAAGAGCCTACTCCTTTTTAAAAGGCCGGCAACGCATCTGCAATTCTCCTGGTTCCCCTGGTGTTGCAGTTGTTCATGGGCGGCGGTAGGCACTTACCATCAGGTGAGAAGCTTGCCCATTTGCCCCCTCTCCTATGAAAAAAAAATAGCTTTGCATTTGCAAGTCAGTGATTGTGTCAGCATTTTTTATCAGGAGTATAATTTTTATGATTTGGATTGACATATACTTTTTTCAATATTATTTATTTTAATTTATTAACTATAAAAAATGATTGCTTTTGCCTCATGGCATCCTTAAGTTGTATAAAGTTTCGCCAAGTGACAACAATTGCAAGAATAAATTATAGGAGTAAAATTATTACTATCAATAGATTTTTAAGTAAAGTAATATTTTAGTGAAGTGAAACTTCTTTACCGACGTAGTGGAGAAATTTAGTATGTAACATTTCCTTGCCGGGGCTGCATGAGTAAAAAATTAAAGAAGAATGATATGTTGTAAAAAAGTTTTACTTCATACATGTGTACACAATTACATGCACAATTTTTTAATTAATAACCCATGAAATTAAAATCTCCATGTTATTGAGACATTTCTTTCTCATTTTTGAATTATTATGATTAGTAATTTAAGGATTTTTATATTCTGATTTTAATTTCTTCCAGATGAGTTTAAGAACAGCAATAACTAAATTTGAAAAAGCCACAAATTTGGTCTCCATGTCAGAAATGTTTAGCAGGAATGAAAGCATTGATGAGATACCAACTGAGTCTATGCAGTATTTGTTACTACCTGCATTGTTAGGAACACTAACATTGAAGTTGTGTGGAAAAAACAGGAAGGATGTGATAGATGTTGCAGAAATTTATTTTAAGTGTGTACTATGTATCATTTAAATTTTAATTTAATATAAATGCTAATGATAAGAATATCCTTAGATGCAATAACTTAAATTGAAAATTTTAAAACCCCCCAAAAAGAACCCTACCGCAGTGAATAAAACAGTTGATGACCTTGAAACGGCTGAACCAATTTTAATAAAACATGTCTAAGAACCACCACTAGAAAACCTGCTTATAAATTAAAAAAAAAAACTGCACCCAATTGGTTCACCCATTTAAGAGCTATGGTGCCACAGACAGACACATACATATAGCGGGCAAACAAATAACACCCCTCTTTTTCTGTCATCTTTTCTTTTAATGTCCTGTTCATTAATGTAACCATCATTTGCAACTCGGCTGCCGACGATGCAAGTATGACTTGATCATCGGCGTACAAAAGGCATTTGACGGTTAACTCACCCATTCTTAACCCGCATTCTTCTACTTTCAAATTTTCCAAACAACTGTCCATAAATAGGTTGAACAACCACGGGGAAGCCACACAGCCCTGTCTGACACCTTTATGGATGCCAAACCAGCCCGAGTAGGCCCCGTTGATCCTGACACAAGCACTAGAGTCCCTATATAGAGACTTCAATGCCTGTATCAGACCAGCGGTCAACCCAAATGATTTCAGTGTTTGCCATAACACATCCCTGTCCACTCTGTCATAAGCCTTCTCCAAGTCTATGAATGCACAAAAAACTTTTTGGTTTTTGGCCAAAAACTTCTCCGCGATCATGCACATGGAAAAGACCTGATCCGTACATCCTATTCCCTTTCTAAATCCCGCTTGCACATCCCAAAATTTTCCACCAGTTTCTTTCATAACTCTTTCAATTAGTACCTTAGCATACAGTTTTCCCACAATGCTAAGAAGGCTGATACCACGGTAGTTTTTACAGTCCTGCTGTGATCCTTTTCCCTTATATATTGGGACTATCACGGCTTTGCACCAGTCTCCCGGTACCCGCTTAAGTTCCCAACATAAATTAAACAAGGTGTACAGCAGGTCTGCCACCACTCCTTCTCCAGCCCTTAGCATTTCGAGAGATACTCTATCATAACCGGCTGCCTTACCTGCTTTCATACTTTTCATTGCTTTCATTATTTCGTCTATACTTATATCTCTAATCTCTATCTATTTCCTCTTCTTTCGGAATTTCTATTTCATTTAATTCAAACGTCTCATCACTCATAAACACGCTTTCAAAGTATTCCTTCTATCTCCTTAAACTCAAAACTTCGTCATTCAGAATACAGCCATTCTGGTCTCGTATAGCATTCATTCTAGGCTGTTGTGAATGTCCCCTGGTAGTTCTTACGAGTTTCCAGAACATTTTAATGTTTGCCTGGAAGTTATCCGATATTCTTCTATCATTCTCATCCGTTCTTTCTTGCTTTTTCCTTTCAACTAATTCTTTTACTCTCTTATTTAGATGTCTAAAAACTGCCTTTTTCCTTTCAATATCATCATTCATACTGCTAGAATTACTAGCCTTGGTTGCTAGTAAATATAGCCATGCTTTCTTCTTTGCTTCAACTTCCATCCGTACCTCATCATCCCACCATAACGTGTTATTTTTCCTTTCAATCATTCTCTTACTTACACCACATACTTCGGTAGCTGCATCCACTAAACCTTTCTTGACATTATACCACACAGTGGCCAAGTGTAAATCATTCATACACAATTCAGCCATACCACTTACATTTTCTCTCAATCTACATTTGAACTTCTCTTTCACACCTTCATCTTGTAACCTCTCTGTTCTTATACGCTGTAACGCAGTGGTAGACACAGATGTCCGATGCCTCCAACGTCTGAAAAGACCATTAATTCGGCATAAGACCAAGTAATGATCCCTCCCTACGTTAGAGCCCCGGTAAACCCTTGTATCTACCACCGCGCTTCTCATTCTTTCATCAACAATTATGAAATCTATCATACTTCTATCATCACCTTTTTCCCATGTATACGTGTGAATCTCCTTATGACGAAAGAAAGTGTTCGTCACAACAAGATTCTTTTCCACGCACACGGCGAGAAGGCTTTCACCATTTTCATTTATACTTTCATCACCAAATGTTCCCAATATCCTTTCATAACCAAGCCTCCTCACCCCAACCCTTCCATTAAAATCGCCTAATATCACAATATTTTCATTAACCTTGCATTTCATTAGCACCATCCTTACCAACTCCCAAAACTGCTCTCGGATATAAGTGGGCTTAGACATGTCTGGGGCGTAGACCCCTAAAACAAACAACTTCTTTAAGCCCACTTTCATCCGTATCCATAGCAGTCTCGGGCTTACACATTCATAATCTTTTACGCAATGACCCATTCTTTCTGAAAGGATGATACCGACTCCCTGGCATGCCCGCTCGGTCTCGTCTACACCAGACCAGTATGCGGTATACATGCCATGTGTAGTGGCATTCTTTCCCTTCCGTTTCGTCTCATTTACACATAACACGTCTATTCCTCTATCATACATCATATCGCATACTTCATCCATCTTATCATTCATTCCTCCACATACATTCAATGTAGCCAGACGGGCTTCCGCAATCCACTTTTCGCCCCTCCGGGGGACAGAACGTGACGGGTGGCGAACCTCGTCGCCGGTTTTCCTCCCGGAGATTCTTCGCACCCTGCCCCATTAAAGGGGCGCCGGGAACTCGGGGCCATTTCATTAATTTTATGCCTCATGGTGCCATAGTAAGTTGTGGTATTTTCACACATGAGAATTAAGAAAAATCCTTCTGACAATTCCAGAGGCCCATTTCCAGCAATGGTCTATAACAGGCTGATGAGAAGAAGAATGTCATATTGTATGTGTCTGCTCTTTCAGGGATTTTTTAACAAGGTGTAAAGATTATGGGCTCACAGACCTGGAGGTACCACAGAATAATAGTAATAACCAAAACATTATAAGCAGACCACAGAGTGAACAGGAAAAGATTGTTAGCATGGTGAGTACAAATAATGTTGTGGTATTTATAAAGATGGTACAGATCCATTTCTACATAAGAGTCTGTCTCAATTGATAACAATTAGGGCTAAACGTAGAATTCATGCACAGTTTTGAACGGAGGGCCCTGATTTTAAAAAATCTTACCTCAAAACTGTGATAACAATAATAAATGACTACTTACAAAACTAAGGACACAAGCTACAAAAATTGTAAAGACCAAGGAAGGAAAAAAGTTAAAGGTGCAAAATTACTATTATTTTATTAAAATACTAACCATCTGCCACGGCTTCGCACAGGAGATTTCTGTATCTTAACAGCAGCGCCACCTACAGAGTCCAATTGTGAATCTAAACCATTCTGCAATCAACTTAATCAGAAACACAAGATTTCATTAAAATCGTTCCAGCCGTTTAGGAGGAGTTCAGTCACATACGCATATACAGAAGAATTATATGTATATATATAAAAATATAAAGATTAATTTTTAATAGCATGAGGCATCTGGTATTAGTGTGTACACCAATATGCCTCCCCAAGGTGGTAACTATGGCATATCCTCCCTGCCCAGGAGACATCCATGTTATCCAGTAAGGGACGTGAGGGTTGATGAAGATAAAGACTATCCCTAAAATTTTCATGCATATAAGTTTTACGTATAATGATATAATATTTAAGCATAACTTATTGGGAGAGTGTTGACGTTTGGTAGAAATATTTTTTTTGTATATAACTTGTTACTGTCCTTATAATTAGCATGCCAGCTAGCAGCCTCATTTTAACCTACTGTGATATAGCTTGTCTAATTGTGTGCTCCATTTTAGTATATACATATTTCAAAGGACGTATTGTTTTACATTCAAAAAAAAAATCATTGTTTTTTTTACAAAGATTTAACTAATTTCAACTTAAAACAACTTTTTGAAGAATCAAATTTTTTTAATATAATTTAATTTAATTAGATTAACTCATTAAAATAGATCTCCAGTTCTTTTCACCCACCATACAAAACACATCAGCATTAAGCTGCTATTTTACACTAGTATTCTGTTTATTGTATCTATAGAGTCATATATATAAGTGATATGCCAGTGATACTCCCACTCATCACGAGATCTCCAAAACTATTGGTCATTGGCTTGAAATTTGGCATATATACTCCTTTCTCGATGTAGACACCAATTAAGAAAGAATTTTGAAAAATTAAACCACTGAGGTGGTGAAATGGGGTGTTACAGTTTGATTATTATAATCAGTGTCCAGCCGAAACCGAAACCGAAACTTATTTTGACATGTTATTTTTTTTTAATTATAAACTGAAATCTTGTATATTTTTTATACATATACAGATAGGTAATGCATGATAATGAAAAATAGTATTTATTTATTTTAAAGTAAAAAATCAAAAATTTAACGTTTAGAAATACTTTTTTAAGTAAATTTTGTAAAAAATTCACGCTTACACCCATAAATGTTACTCGCTAATTGAGAACATATTTTATTGTTTTCACAATATTGTTAAAACGAATATATTATTCAATAAGAGCATTAACGTATTAATTATGAGTAATATACGAGTCACGAACTCATCCGAACGACGCACGATAATCCACGAACACTTGAGTTTCGGCGTCGCCGAAGGTTCGGCAGATTTTTTGCCGAAACCGAAACTATTACCGAAACTAGATTTTTTTGTAGAAACTTGCCGAAACCGAAACCGAATCTTCGGTCGGTCACTAATTATAATATTATAAAGCATACCCTAAGCTTCTTATTTATCAGTCCGTAAAAGTGTACTGCTGGACGGCTTCTCCCATTGTAGGGAGTATTTGCATTAATTGTGGTGCTTGGCAGGCAGTGTGACAATCGCAGTACCAGACGTTACACACCTTAGATGCTGCTTAAGTGGCCGGACTGGCTATTTTATCAAAATGCAGATGCGTTGTTACCCATGAGGACTAAGATGGAATGCCTCGTTTCCATTCAAAAAGTCTCCAATTCTCTACATTTACCATGCGAAACACAGCAGCGTTAAGCTGCTATTTTACCCTGGTGTTTTGTGAGATTGTGGTCCTTTCCCGGCCGAGCTGACCCATTCGTGCTACAACTGTAATATAGGTTCAGCATAGCTTTACCATATAATATATATAATAGAATAACCAGTAGAATAAGATCGTTTTGGCACAAGGCACAACTACTCGGAGCACTTTGGCCAAATAATTGACAATATTCTAAATAGTATGAAATGTGGCGGAGTTTTTTCATAACTTAAAGTTTAATTAAAATACTATGCACCTAGGTCCAAACGAGGGAAGCAAAGATCAAGCGGTACAAAGAGGCAAAAGAGTTGAAGGAAAAACTTGCAAACCTTTCCAAAGCAATGTCATTACCAAATGTAGATGATGAAACCAAACGAGAGTACACTACAACAATGTTGCTTAGTTTCATCAACCAGGCGTTTGATGAGCTCTCTAGTATTGAGCAGGAGAAACCTATTTTGGAATATATGGCAAAGCACAGTGGAGGTTAGTAAAAAAGTAGAACAAAGAAAGCCAAGCTGTTAGCGCCGACTGATTTTTAAATACAAGGTTGATGGTTTTTTGCAAAGAAAATTCTGAAATTTTGGTTGCTTCAATTTGAAGAGTTCTCTTGATAATTCTTTCCTTTTCAATACTTTGAAAACATTTTCAATTCACTGTTAAATATAAGCCTTTTCTATATGCCAATTGGTGCAGGGGTTGGTGAACTCAAAGCCTAGAAGATGACTTATTGTAAGTAATTTTTACTTTTATCACTGGTTTGGTGAAACCTCTGTCCTGGGAAGAACCAGCAAGTAACCCCGTGGGACATATCTTTCCATATTAACATTAAACTAATTATAAAGTAGTGTATTGTTGGCTTTGTGTATGGTACTTTAATGTATATACTGTTATTTGTTATTCACCAGAGCATCTTAGTTTGTTTGAAAAGCCCACACCCAGTAATGGATTATTTAGGACTGATGATAATGAAGGAGAAGCATTAACCATGTAGTGTCAGTGTAAGAATTTCTACGGGGTGACAAAAACAAACTGTACCAGTAGATGGGCGCAAACATCTTCCTGATAACAACTGAATAAAAACTAAACTGCGGCTGCCAACGCGCTGGCCGAGTGTGGTAAATAGGGCAAATATATATAATGCCCTATGAGGTAATCTATGGGTCAGGCTTATGTCCATTGAAGTAAAATGTAGTACGTATAAGTCACGGCACGTAAGTCTAGCCTTGAATGAAACGTGGAGGGGACGCGCACGAATTGAATTGCACGAATGCGACTGGAAAGCCAATCAGCGTGTGCGAATGATACGCGCTAGTCAATCAGCGCGACTTATGCGCAATATGCCAATCAGCGCGACTTGGGCGCAATAACCGCACCGCTAGACTTTCGTGCCGCTGCTTATACTAGAAGAGACGCTTAGACTTGGTTGTTTGTAGCACGCGTCAGCCCGCGGACTCAAGTTACTTAGTCTGTGCAATAAAAAGGTACTCTGTGGCTCTCACAGATTTTGTTCGTGGTGTATGTTCTAGTACGTAGTACTTATTAGTTCAGTATGTTCAGCAATTGACTTTTGATAGGCTGTAATGGTAATGGATGATGAAGAAGATATGTTGTATGGGAGTACCAGTCTACTGATATTGGATCAGTGTGCGTACGTGGTAGAGCCATGCCGTAGCTATATTAATAGTATGTATAGTTGTAGCACGAATGGGTCGGCTTATTGTTACATAGAAAACAATCGACTGAATCGACAGTTATGATATTGCGCATTCGATTGTCGATTTAGTAGTTCCTCACCATGATTATTCGAATAGATACAATCGACAAACTGCTAACTGTACGCACACTAAAATCCGCCGCTATGTAACGCATGCGAGTGTGCATCTGTGCAACGACGTGTGCATGTGCGTGCGGTGACCGCACCATCTTTAGTAACCACTTATTTAGTAGTACGCATAATCGATGCGCTGCGCTACAAATTAGTAATTAAATTTGACACGGTAGCCGTGTCAGGCATTGTCGCCCGCCGCACGGCGTTAGTCGATAACAATCGACAAACATCAATTTTATCGACTAAATTGAACAATCGACTAATTCGATTAATTTTAGTAATAATTGCCCATCGATATGTCCGCTCGACCGGTGAGGGACCTCGTTCTCACATAACAGCAGCTTAACACTGCTGTGTTTTGTATGGTGAGTGTAGAGAACAGGAGACCCTATTACTGGAAACAAGGCATTCCATCTTAGTCCTCACGGGTGACAACATATCTGCATTTTCATTTATAATTGAGGATAGATGTAGATGTCTATGGGCCACAGTAACCACTTACCATCAGGTGGACTGTGTGCTTGTTTGTCATTCTTATCCTAGTCACTACGGGTGGCATTGAACTAACGGGCAACAGGATATACATAGGCTGCACTAAAAGTATTTAGAATGGAATACTTCCACCGTTCTTGTCATATTAAAATCTTTTTAATTGAAAAGTCCTTGGTTTTAAAAATCGAATACGATTTATTTATTTAAAAAAAGATTCTCGGTCTTGTCACAAGGTTTTGTCAAACTTGTTTAGTCGTTGAGAAAATGGAATTGACTTGAGAAAATTCAAGAGCGATGATTTATTATGACTTTCGAAGTGGTTTAACACAAAAACAGTGTGTTGATCGGATGATTTCTGCATTTGGTGATGAAGCCCCATCCAAAACCACAATTTATCGCTGATTTGCTGAATTTTAACGTGGACGTGTCAAGCTCAGTGATGATCCCCGTCAAGGTCGTCCAAAAACTGCAGTCACCCAAGAAAACGTTGATGCTGTGGGTAAGATGATTGAGGAAGATCGACATGTGACATACCGCGAAATTCAGGCAACTTTAGACATTGGCATGAGTCAAATAGAAATAATCTTGCATGAAAAATTAGGTGTAAAAAAGTTGTTTTCCCGATGGATACCGCATTCGCTTTGTGAAGAGCAAAAAGCGGCTCGCGTTACTTGGTGCGTCAGAATTCTCGAAAGATTCCACGCAGGATCCTCAAATGCTGTATACAACATCGTATCAGGTGACGAATTCTGGATATATGCGTACGAACCAGAAACAAAAAACCAGTCACGAGTTTGGGTGTTCGAAAATGAGTTAAAGCCAACAAAAATTGTTCGTTCACGGAGTGTTGCAAAAAAAAATGGTGGCCACGTTTGTCTCCAAAACCGGCCATGTTACGACTATTCCTCTTGAGGGACAAAGAACGGTTAATGCAGAATAGTATGCTAGCATTTGTTTGCCACAGGTCGTTTCTGAACTCTGTAAAGAGAACTGCAACCGCCGCATCATCCTCCATTACAATGCGACTTCTCACACCGCACACGGAACAAAAGAGTTTTTAGAGCAAGAAAACATAGAATTATTAGACCATCCGCCGTACAGCCCCGACCTAAGCCCTAATGATTTCTATACTTTCCCTAAAATAAAGAATAAATTGCGTGGACAGAGATTTTCATCACCTGAATAAGGTGTGGACGCCCACAAAACGGCCATTTTGGAGACCCCAACTTCCGAATGGAATGGTTGCTTCAATGATTGGTTCCATCGTATGGAAAAATGTGTCAAATTTCGCGGAGAATACTTCGAAAAGCAATAAATACATTTTTAAATAGTAATGTTGTGTCACTTCCTTGATTCCGGAAATTTTCAGTGCCGCCTTCGTATAGATCGATAGATAACTCTTTATTGCATTTAAACCTTAAAGTTGTTATAATAACAGAAAATTCATACTGATTTGTCGCGAAATCACACCTTCTTTGGCATGCCTTCGAAATACTAAGCCAAATTTATTAAACTTTCTTATATTTTTTTTTATAGAATAAGGGTGACAAATGAGCACAGAGTCTACCTAGATGGTAAGTGGTTGCTGTGGCCCAAAGACATCTAATCCAAGACATATATCCTCAATTAAGGATCAAAATGCAGTTTTTTGTTATAAATTAGTATATTGTTGTGTATGTCAATAGTCTGTGCCAAAAAATGTTTTTTCTTTTTTTCCTTCTTACAATCTCAAAGTTAATCTTCGAATTCTTGCAATTTGAAATATCCACGTTATTTTTTTTATCATTTCAGAACCGAAGCCAAAGCATAGAGAGCAAACGACGCCTCTGAAGCCTGTTATAATAACTCGCGACGCTGTGCAGAAGGCGGTTTTCGGAGCAGGATACCCGTCCCTCCCCACTTTGACCATCGAGGAGTTCTATGACAAGAGAGTTAGGGAGGGAACGTAAGTGACTGCATATTAGTCGTGAGTAACTCCTCTATTTTGTTTGAGCATGAGTCGAGTACCTCATTTAACGTCGCGAGGTACTCACCAGGTGCCCCTCATTAGAGGTGAGGAATGTTTCGTCGGCCTCACAAGGAGAGTCGCTTCGTTCCTTCCGAAAGTTTTTTTGAACATGACATGTTGCCGCTTCAGTAATTTTATATCAATTATGTCTGTGGTTTTTATTGATAGGCGCCTTTAGTGGACGCAAATATCATTTGCAACCACTGGTTATGCCCAGTAAGCGCAAAATCGGGCGATGATTTTACTGTCATATCTTCTAGATAAACAAAAACAAGGTATTCCCAAACACTTTGTTTGCCAGCTATAAACCATGGCATTTTTGTTTCTACTAACTCATCATGGCTGTCTAAGCCTTTTAGGTACTAATTTTAATGTGTACGCAATCTTACACACTTACACGCCCCTTCAGTAATTTTACTAAATTAAACCCAAGATGCAAATCTAAGGGCTGAAAGGACACATCATTAAAATATACATATTTACATTGATTAACTATTGTGCTCATTTTCTTCTCGTCATCTCGAGGTTAATAGTTGAAAATCAGTGTTTGCTCTCTGAACAATATTAATTGCTGAGCTAGGACCCATTTGTCAAATTGCAACACGCATGTATATTTAGATTTTAAGTTTTTGTAAATTATTTTCTTCGTAATATGTTAATACAACAGCGGTAGAGCCACGCGACAGCTTTTGCTGTCGCACGGATGGGGGCCGGCTCGAACCGGGGTGGTACCACGACCTCACAGAAAACCAGCATGGAGTCGAGGTTTACCTCTGCGTTTCGCTTGGTGAGTGCAGGTGGCCGGAGGCCCTTTTTACTGGAAATGAGGCATTCCAACTTAGTTCTCACGGGTGACAACGCATCTACATTTTGATTTGTAATAGAGGATTGATGTAGATGTCTATGGGCCGCAGCAACCACTTACCATCAGGTGTACTGTGTGCTCGTTTGTCACCCTTATCCTATAAAAAAAATACTTTGTACTTAGTTTAGTTACGGAATTTACGTGTGTGATTGGAGAAACAAATAAATGCTTTATCTTGTCACACGCAAGTTATGCGATTTTATTGTTTCATATTTCATTATTAACATTTTTTTTTTCAATATCGACACTTGGCTCATTTAAATATCGCTCGAAAATGACAAATGAGTAATGGACTTACCATAATCTTGATACCTAATTGAACTATTTTTAGTTGAGCCATTCCCTCACTCTCTCGCGATAAAGTTCGTTCGAGATGGTTTAATGTTGAAATCTAAGTAACTCTTTCAATTTGCTCTCACGAGGACCTCAAATGAGTTAACTTATAAGCGAGGGACACTACTGCATATAGAACAGAGATTATTAGTTTCAACTATTAATGTTACATAAAAAAAGTTTTGTCACCTTATCCTTTGATACTATAGTTTTGTTGTATAGTGACTGCCACACTAATTTAGTTGGTATAGGACAGGATTTCAGTACCCGAGTGTTTACGCAGGCACAGGTGCTCTCCCTATTCGCTCACTTTAATAGTCCAATCCGATAGGAAGGTAACCCGACACGACCGGAGAGAGATCAGGCGCAGGACTAACGGCTTTACGTGCTTTCCAAAGCACGGGGGTAAACCGTCACACACTTCCTGATTCCAGGCTGCTGGTATTATGGATTTTTTTTTATAGGATAGGGTGACAAACGAGCAATCAGTCCACCTGATGGTAAGTGGTTGCTGTGGCCCATAGACATCTACATTTATCCTCGTTTGCGAATCAAAATGCAGATGCGTTGTCACCCGTGAGGACTAAGACGGAATGCCTTGTTTGCAGTAAAGAGGGTCTCCGGTTCTCTACACTTACCATACGAAACACAGTAGTGTTAAGCTGCTATTTTACGCTGGTATTCTGTGAGAGCGTGGTGCTTCCTCGGTCGAGCCAACCCATTCGTGCAACAACTATACTACTAATATAGCTGCAGCTTGGCTCTACCACGTATATAAATATTAGTATTAGTATAGTATTCTTGGCAAAAAAAACTCAATAAGTGATTTTTATTGGCTCGACACGGGAATCGAATCCGGGACCTTATGATCAGCAAACGCTTTTACGGCGGCTGGACCAACGAGGTAGTCAAGTCGTTGCTAGACAAGTAATACAGTTTGCACATTCTTTTTTGTTATATATCCCACATAAACATGACACCTGTAACTCCTAGATCAACGTGGGAGATTTCTTTGAGGACTAAGACGGAATGTTTTATTACCAGTAAGGTAGGTTTTTGCTTATCTTAACTAATTATAGAATAATTAAAAATTTTGTACAACCGAGTTCAATATAAATTATTAAGAATAACTCAAAAACTATTGGTTAGACCTTGATCAACCACTACAAGAGAAGCACTAGCTTTCAAATAAAAAAAGAATTATCGAAATCGGTTCAACCAGAAAAAAGTTTTGGGGTAACACACATAAAAATACATACAGTCGAATTGAGTACCTCCTCCTGTTTGAAGTCGGTAGAAAAACAGCTGTGCTGGTATTATGTGAGACCATGGTTCTTCTTTGTTCGAGCCCTTTCGTAGGGCAATCATAATACAGCTACAGCGTGGCTTCTTTCACAAGTCCACTTCTGAACATAGTCCTCCCCCAAGGAACGCCACGAAGCACGGTCCTAAGCCACCTGCATCCATAGTTGGAACCATACTAAAGCTATATTATGGTTGTAACACGGGCCGGCTAGACCGGCGAAAGGACCACGCTTTCACATAATACCAGCGTAAAAAAGCAGTTTAATGCGGTTGTGTTTCGTATGGTGAGTGTAGAGAAACGGAGTCCCTTTTTACTGGAGGCGTTCCATCTTAGACCTCAGGGGTGACAAAGCATTTTCATTTTGATTCTTAATCGAGGATAAATGTAGATTTCTATGGGCTACAGTATGTTTTAGTATTACCATCAGATGGACTGTGTGATCGTTTGTCTTACTAGGTCGTTACCCCATATGTAATGTGATTGTATGGTTATTTATTTCGAACAGGTTCCCTGCTGCTGGTACTAATATACCGCATGCAAAAATAGAAAATGCGGAGGCTGATGCAGACGAGGCAGACAAAGTGAAAAAGGTATTTTTTTTTAATTATTATAAACCAGTGCTTTTCTACTTTCCCAGATTGCATGTAGTTAAAGTTGGCCCTGTCTCAGCGTAACGAGTCTATTTACACTTGCTTTGTAGACACCCACCCAGTTTGTAATCGGACAGAAAGACAGACGCCGTATAACACAGTATGTTGTGACTTGAAACTATAGTACGAGTAATTTAGCGGTAAAAGTTATTCGCCGCTGGATTACAGTTTAATTTAATCAATAGCAATTCAATTTTAATTTAATCAATAGAAATAGCTCAACGAATAGTTTAAAATTAAAAATTTTGTACTGCCGACTTCAATATAATTTAATTCTTAATAACTCAAAAACTATTGGTCTGACCTTGATCAAATTCATACGGAACCACAAGAGAAGTATTAGCTTTCAAATAAAAAAAGAATCATCGAAATCGGTTCTCCCAGTAAAGAGTTATGAGGTAACACATAAAAAAAATCATACAGTCTAATTGAGTACCGTCTCCTTTTTGGAAGTCGGCAGATAATATTGTAAGTTGCACAAGACAAAATTTAACAAAAAGCCAAAAGTTTATTCAGGGAAGCTAAACGTCCTTACAGTACGGAAATTCTGTACACGGTTACTTTGTAAGAACCGGGCAAAGTTGCAGAGAAGGTTAAGAATAAGTGATACAAGCAAATGGTCCAGAAAAATTAATTAAAATAAATCTCAAACATTCTGTTCTTTGGAGGGTTCCGTAGGTAGACAACAAGGAATCCTTATAGTTTCGCCATGTCCGTCCGTCCGCGGTTTTGGATCCTAGGTCCTACAAATCTGCAATTTAGCATAGTTATAGATATTAATCGCGCCTAGAAAATTGTTGGCGGCAGAAATATATAAAAATGTGGTGTCAGCCCAGACAGAGTCAAGATGTATTATGTAAAAATGCTGGAATACTTGTTTGCTGGGTGGTGGCTGCGACAGAATATCATGGCCACATTTCGTTCTGTGCATGCTGTATGATTCAACTATTGAAAATGAAAGTAAAATAAAGCAATGCATATCCTCGTTTAATAAAGTAGAGACTTCAAGTACATTGTTTACAGTTTTTTTTGTTTTGTGCGTATGTGTGTGTTTTTATTCATCTTTTACTTTTGAGATCATGAGGGTAGGCCTATCTACCCTCATGATTGTCTCATGCACATTATCTCCCATATTTAACATAGTTGCCACGCTTGGTAAGTGTTTTATTATTTTAACAGCGGTAGAGCCACGCGGCAGCTTTTGCTGTCGCACGGATGGGCCGGCTCGAACCGGGGTGGTACCACGACCTCACAGAAAACCAGCGTGAAGTCAAACCTCGACTTCACGCTGCGTTTCGATTGGTGAGTGCAGGTGGCCGAAGGCCCTTTTTACTGGAAACGAGGCATTCCATTTTAGTCCTCACGGGTGACAACGCATCTGCATTTTGATTTGTAATAGAGGATAGATGTCTATGGGCCACAGCAACCACTTACCATCAGGTGGACTGTGTGCTCGTTTGTCACCCTTATCCTATAAAAAAAAAGTTGTTATCAGGAAGGTGCTGATGCCAATCCCCTGTTTCATTTTCTCCTGTCATAAGATTAGCGCTGGTAGATTATCTAACGTCAACACCACACGGCGATGTATGTGTAATTGTGTATGTGTCATGAAAGCTACAATGAGGGCTCCGTTTACCAGACGTCACTAGTTGGGACTGAGGTGGAAGGTTTTTGTTACACAATGTTCATATATTTGACAAGTTGCGGTTTAAACAAAAGTTCATCGGTTTCTAGAGTATAATATAAAAATAAAAAACAATGGCTTCTATTTAGTATTTTTCACATTTTTGACTCTTTTTGATTTTTCTACGTTTTAGGAATATCCTTAGTTGGGTTTATTCTTTTCTAATCTAATTATTATAAAATATAACTAATATTACAAATAGAAACATTAACCCTTATATTTACCTAACAAATTAACCTACTCACCATGTAATATGTGTAACGTTTCAGCTCATTCATAAGTGATGCCGCCCTGGTGGCAAAAGTTGGATGCCCTCTTTACTGACAGCATTGAGTTCTTTACGATCTGCATTGATTGTATAATATCACGTGAGTTTAAATTCTACAGGAACGTCTGATCGAAGAGGACGATCCAGAAGAACTGGCCAGGCAACGCAACATGGACGAATATAAAGATGACCATCGCCGCGGTTGGGGCAACCGACATAACAGAAGTTAATTCATAGCGACATCTAGTAGCGAAGATCCACAACAATAATAATTTGCTGAATAAATTAATTTGCTGCTACATCTTGCGGCTGATATTTCTAATCTTCTGCATAAGAGACATCTGTAGGCGCACTTTTGAAATTTATGGTAGTGACATCTATTGGTGGTTTTTGTAATCTTGTTGATTGAAAATCCTATAACACATTTTTAAATATTCTACGTTTGTGCTAATACTCGTTCTATGAATTTGTTCAAATTATATCGTTAAAATATTATTAAAATGTTTTATTTTTGACATTCCGTCAGCAATGCTTAGTTGATGTTATTATTCTCGATAAATAAAACAAACGACGAGGGTGTTTTAAGTACCTAGGTAACTACTGTACTACTAACGTATGGGGGGGGGGGGGGGGAGGGGCAAGCTGAGCATCAAGACAAAGGCGTCCCCTGCCACGCTATCCGTGAACTTCTGCAACATCAGGGGACTTCACTCGAACCTAAACACCGGCCACTATCACCTGGACGAGACGGCGAAGCTGGCCTTGCTCTTTGTGACCGAGACGCAGGTGTCATCTAGGCTTGACGCCTCGGCAGTCTCGAAGGTACGGACCTGTCTACCCTTTGGTTACATGTAGACAGCGACGGCCATTCCTGCATCTATGGGTGCCTCTGTATGTCCCACAGCGGTAATGCCGACACAGACCGACTCGTCAACAATGGCTACAGATTTCGTCAACCATGTCCACATGGCTACAGATTTCTTGCTACAAAAGATCCCTTCCGCAGAGATCGTGATCCTTGGTGATTTCAACGCCCACCACGCCGAATGGCTCGGTTCACGTTTAACCGATCATGTGGGGAGATCTGTTTATCGACTTTGCCTTGGCATATGGTCTGACACAACTGGTTACTTCGCCTTTGTGGATTCCAGATGTAGAGGATCATGCACCTTCCCTGTTCGATCTTCTGCTGACCTCTCATCCGGACGGATATCAGGTCTCCGTTGACGTCCCTCCTGGCTCCTCAGGCCATTGTCTAATCCGGAGTGTGGAACTTACGCTAAAATCGCTGTAGAAAACGAGATTTTTAGGAATGAAACGCTATTCCGATGTCGGTATGAACTTCTATGAGCACCTTGAAAAGTTCCCTTGGACAGCCTTGGCGAGAAACCAAATTTCACGGGTGCATGAAGGAATGCGAACTAGTTTTGTTTCTTGTGTTATAATATTGCCGATGTGCTCTGACTTTGCCTTAGCAATGGCTCTTTTGAAGGACTCCCAGACAAGAAAGCCAAAATAAGTAAGAGGCGGAGTTATTCTTCTATTTATGAGCGCTGGTGTTTTCATCCCAGAACGTTGATGCGTCAGCCCAGGATAAGTAGCACTCCTGCAATATGTTATTTTACAGGAGCGACCAAACCATGACTGGGATCTGCCTCCGATGAGCACCACAGAAGACGAAATAAATAGTTCCTTACCCTGAAGTACCACATCAGTGACAGAATCAGCATCAACGTTGGGGTCGTACGACGAGAAGCAAACCCGTCCTCAAAGGTAGGATTTTTTTTTATACGATCGGGTGACAAACGAGCACACAGTCCACCTGATGGTAAGTGGTTACTGTGACCCATAGACATCTACATCTATCCTCAATAAAGACTCAAGATGCAGATGCCTTGTCACCCGTGAAGACTAAGATGGAATGCCTCTTTGCCAGTAAAAAGGGTCTCCGGTTCTCTCACCCGTATTCAAGAACGAAACTATGCGTACGCACAGTAGGCTTTAACGCACAGTGGACAAAATTTTGTTTCATAAACGTCACTTGAGTGTTAGACGACACTATGCGCTCATTATAATGAACGCACAGATAAAGTAGCTCGCTAACTACTTTACGCTACGCATAGTGCGACAAATCAACGCAAATATCCAACTGGTATGGGGTATATAGGTTATGTTTGTTGATTTGTGATACGCTGATCTGTTTTGTTTGAATAATTGCGATGGATTACAGCAGCGAAGATGATTTTGATAATTATATCCTGGAGAGAATAAACGTTGCTAAGAACGATTAGCACAATAAAAGTGATACGTGACTTTTTAAAGTCACTATAGGTTTTTAGAAGATATCGTAATAAATGTACTTCTGCCTCTGATAAATGCAGATCTTTTGAAAGTTACTAGTGGCCTTAAGATTTTATTCATCTGGGAGTTTCCAGATTTGTAATAAAAATTCAGTTAATCTACCTATCAACACTTTCAAATCCACATTATTTTAATAATACTTATGCATAGGTACCCTATAAAAACAGTACCAGTAACGTCTTTTACCTGAAAGAAAACAACACGTGTTATTATTTTTTATCTGTCATTCAACTCGAGTGAAGTCGCGTCACAACGTCAACCAATCACGGCGCCCCATTCACTGCAATGTGTCCGCACAACAGAGTCCACTAAGTATTGTTCATGAAATGAACGGCCTGCCATGACGAACGCAGTGAGAAATACCTTACTTAACATAGTGTTGCTACCATACTTATGTATGTGTCGTTTGTGAATACGGGCCTCTACACTCACCATACGAAACACAGCAGCGTTAAGCTGCTACTTTACGTTGGTTTTCTGTGAGAGCGTGGTCCTTCCCCGGTCTCGGCTCTACCACGTAGAAAAAGGATGCAAGAAAAGATCGCAATCTATCTCAATCGGCGGCTCAAGGGGCGTCAACGGGATACCTGATATCTGAAATCTGGACATCTGAAATCCACATAGGCGAAGTAACCAGTTGTGTCAGAACATATGCTAAGACAGTCATAAATAGATCTCCTCGCATGATCGGTTAAACGTGAACCGAGTCATTCGGCGTGTTGTGCATTCAAATCGGCAAGGATCACGTTCTTTGGGGAAGGGATCTGCTGTAGCAATTTGGACATGGTTAATGAGTCGGTCTGTGTCGGCATTACCGCTATGGGACAGCGGATAGACTATAGACCCATAGATGCAGGGATGGTTGTCGCTGTCAACGCGTAGACAAAAGATGGACAGGTCCGAACCTTTGACACTGCCGAGCACAGATGTCCTGTCTGACGTATACACAAACTCTAGTCCGAGGCATAAAAAACTGTTCCAATTGTATATGTCCGGATAGCGCGGCAGGAAGTCGCCTTTGTCTTGTGCTTCAGCGTTTTTAACTATTAATATCGCCTCTTGTGACACCTACGGGTTGATTTTAGATAGTGGATTCTCTAACGTCATCATTACACGGCGATAATCATCGATATATATGTACTACGCACTCGATTTCGCATTCCGAATATTGACTATGTTCAACTGAACTGTACTGCAATCCGTACACTTAACTAAATATTGCGTAAATTGAAGATTTGTGGTTTCCATAAGATATTTATTATTAGATTTTATTTAGAAACTAGCTAACCTGGCGAACTTCGTACCGCCCAACAGTCGATTCTTTAATTATTTTTTTTAATACTTCTGCTATTCGGGACACCGGGTCAGCCACTAAGATAAAAAAGAATATTGAAAGTCAACAATTACATTATGTCAAAAAATAAAAATTATAAAACACTATTGACAAATATTGACATTAATATTTATACTATTAGCTGTAAACAACTCCTATTGGTCTAATAAAAGCTGGCCCCCTATTCTTAAATCTCTCAATAGATTAAAAAATATTGGTTATCCTTGTGTAAAATCCCCAATTCTACCCTATTTTGAAACCAGCTATGAAGCTATATTACTAAATCCTAAAATCACTGAATTTAAACATTAATAAAAATTCCTCAACTGCAAACAGTACTTTGTACAACCTTGTGGCAAAAAAATGGTCTGATTGCTATATATTTTTACTAATGCTTCCAAATTGTCTTCATTCAAATGTGTCGGTTCTGCAGTCTGGATCCCCAAATATAAAATTGTCCTTAATTATAGATGTCCTCCTCAGGCTTCTGTTTTTACTGGGGAAGCCGTAGCTATATATGAGGCTATATCCTATATCCTATATACTTTCCCATAAAATTCCTAAGTCAGTTATATTTACTGATTCAAAAAGCTGCCTAATGTCGTCACAGAGCAATATATTTAAAATGAATTCCATCTCCCCATTAATACTGAAAATTAAGGAACTCATACTAAATTGTAATAAGAGTGGGCTTGATGTAGAGATTGTGTGGATTCCTAGTCATTGTGGCATAGAAGGAAATGAACAGGCTGACTCCTGGGCCAAAGGAACTGTTGATACTGGCTGTCCTTCACATTTAATGAATTACTCTCATGATCTAATGTCACTAGCTCAAATTGAATTAAAGAACTCTTGGGACAGAGAATGGAGCATATCCAGACATATTAAAGGTTGCTACTTTGGTAAAATTCAACCCCAAATTCCTCCAAAACATTGGTTTTTTAAATTTAGCTTTTTGAACAAACAAATCACATCTACAATCTGCCGTTTAAGGCTAGGGCAGGCCTGCACTTCTGTATTTCTAGCTAAAATTAAAATCAAAGATCATTCCCTCTGTGAATGTGGTCTGGATGAAGGTACCCCAGACCACATTTTCTTTAATTGCCAAAATCACCCAATTTCTTTATATGACATTCTTCCCAAAACAATCCCTCGACCAGTGAATTTCAATTCCCTCTTAACTATCCCCAATTCCATATATGTCAATATGATCTCAAAATATATTCAAATGTATAATATTAAACTCTAATTATTGTGTACTAAATTTGGCTTAACCTAATTCTCTATTCCCTGCCCAGGCTAATTCTCTCCTATAACTAGATGTTTGCTCTATATTGTGTGGTCCATAATTCATGTATTTAGTTGCTTTGTTTTTATCCACATTTTCACCTAATAACCGCTAACTCCTTTTCTACCGAAAAGCCTCAAGACAAGGTGCGACAGACCAAAGACCGGACATTGGCAGATTTATTGTGACATAACCACAATACCAAGGGCCATATAGACAAAAAAAAATATTTATATGATACTAACGTC